AATATTTGAACTGAAATAATGCTATAACAGAGAATTTGTTAATTAAGTATGATTATTAATCTTTTTTATTTCAACCAAATGTAAATTTTCATGCACGGTTTCTTAAAAAAATCATTAAATCCTGATAAAATTTAAACAGAATTTTAGAAACTTTATTTGATAAGAAAAATACTCCTATTGACACTTTTCATTTAAGCTCAAGTTTTGTATACATATACACTATCTAGCCATTAATGACTGGACACCCCTTGAACGGCAGGTGGACTCGTCCTGGCGGAATAAATACGGAACCTGTGGTGGGGGAAAGACCATTCGCAAGCAGGCGACGGCCATACGAGCGTTAACAGTGAAAATGAGTGGACGGAGAGAGCTAAATGAGGCGGAAAGGGGCATGATCATAGGCGCCCACCGATTTGGTCATTCCATACGTGCCATCTCCGACAAGTTTCAGATAGTTCAACAGTTGGTGACGTCGTGTTGAAATGGGAACGAGAGGGAGTGATAAAACCGCAGTCCCGACCCAGCAAGCCCAAAAGTAATGTCCGACAGGGATCGACGATCTCTTCGACGTGTAGTGAAGGCAAACCGACAAATGTCGTTGGACACTGGCGCTGCCAACTTCCGGGCTGCATCTGGCAGTGTTGCCAGTACGCGTACCATTCGTCGGGAGCTGTTTGCACAAGGATTCCATGGACGAGCAGCAGCACATAAGCCAAATATCTCTCCATCAAGCGCCCACCACCGATTTCAGTGGTGCAGAGCACGTCGCCAGTGACAGTAGAGCAATGGAAAAGCGTTATGTGGAGTGATGAGTGACGCTACACGCTGTGGCACTCTGATGGACGGGTGTGGACCTGGCGAATGCCCGGAGAACGGTACCTACCGGAGTGCATTGTCCCCACTGTGAAGTTCGGCGGTGGAGGAATTATGGCGTGGTCCTGTTTCTCATGGTTTGGCCTTGGACCCTTGGTGTTAGTGCGTGGAATCCTGAACGCAGAAGGGTATAGAGACATCCTGGACAATTTGGCGCTTCCTACCCTGTGGCAACAGTTCGGTAATGTCCCGTTTGTGTTTCAACACGATAAAGCTGCCATTCATAAAGCACATGCCATCACGGACTGGTTTGATGAAATGGGGGTGCAAGAGCTTGACTGGCCATCCCAAAGTCCCGACATCAATCCAATTGAGCATCTCTGGGATGAGTTGGAGCGCCGGTTGATGGCCAGACCACAATGCCCCAAAACCACCACTCAACTCTTCGCCATGTTACAGGAGGAATGTCAGGTAATATCTGCTGCCGAGTACCAACACCTAGTGGATAGCCTTCCCAGAAGGGTTAAAGCTGTGATTCGGGCTCGTGGCGGCCCTACGCCCTACTGACTTGATACTAGCACCTCATGTATACGAAATGAGGGGTGTCCGGTCATTAATGGCCAGATAGTGTATATTTAAAGGCAAGGAAATAATATGTGATGCATATTTTTTTTATTTATTTTGAAATAAACTCGTTTTAAAGCTAACTATTAAGCACTACACTGCAAAAATAATTGTAAATTCTACGGAACAAAACATAATTATTACAGAAAAAAATTGTTTAAAGATAAAAACAGATTTTTCTTTTTTTAATCGTTAGTCACGAGCCGCAAATTTTTTTCCGTCTTTTTATCAGACTTTCTCCGTATATTTGATGGTTTAAAGCTGTTTTTCACAAAATTGTTTCTCTCTGTTTTTTACTTTAATCATAAATGGATTAAAACTGTCATTTCAAATTGTAGTTTTAGCCATGCAGTTTAACTTACCGTAAGATAACTTGTATATTTTTTACAGATCCCTTTATAATTATTTACCATTTTATAATTCTTACTTTGCAGTACTTATTTTATGGTTTCAAACATCGCATAACTAAAATTGTGATTCAGCTTTACTGTCAAATTGATTAGCTACCTGATAAATATCTGATTTTAGATATAATTTTTTCGATAAGTTAAATTTTTCAAGCATTTTTATAAGGGTGGGTGACTATAATTGCTAAGTTTTCACAGTAAATATCGCTTCAATAAGACTTTTAAGATAAAGACTGTTTAAGATGTTTCCTTATAACTAAACACTAGAGATGCTGTGGCTCAGGAGGCAAAAGCGTTGGTCTTCCAATGAGCTGAGCGGAGTTCGAGTCCCGGCATTAATTGGTCATGCGAATTTTGCTTTTGGCTCGCTCCGATCACAATGAAGCCATAGTTATTTTGCAGAGTTTTTTTTTTTGCGTTTAAATAGCAGATCTTGAGCCGCGATGGCTCAGGGGATAGACCGTTTGCCTTCCTCTGAAGCGAACCGGGTTCGAATCCCAGTCGATACGAATTCCGCATCCGGCTTGCACCGACCACAGTGCTGACGTGAAATATCCTCAGTGGTAGACGGATCATGGGTTAGAGTCCCCTTGACGTCAGGCTAACCGTGGAAGGTTCTCGTGGTCTTCCTCTCCATGTAACGCGAATGCGGTTTAGCTCAATCAAAAAGTCCTAAACTAAGGTAAAATTTCTTCCAATACTGAACCCAGGAGTTCCTTTGTCTTCTGAATTGGGTTCAAAATTTCAAGGTTACGGAGTTGAACATTAGTAGTCGTAAACCCATAAAATTGTGTCGGCTGTTCAACGACTGTTATAAAATAAAATAAAATAGCAGAATTTTTTTTTAAAGAAATTAACAGTATTTATCTGCTTAAAAGAACAGGCATCCGCATTTAAATTGCAATATTTTTCTGTGAAGTAAATGGTTTTACCGGAACGGTACCAACCTGTTTACATAATTCTCTTGTGGGTTTTTTCAAATGTTGCTTTTACATCGCTAAGTATTGCAGATTTTTTTTAAAATTTAAAATTAAGCAACAAAATCGAGGAAAGTGCTTTCTTTCATATGGTTTTTCTTTCACACATTTTATAAAAGTGAGCTACTTCCCAAAGAAAAATGACCAATATTTCATAAAATGTAGGAAATAAAATTTCGGTAAAAATTGCCTTAAAGAGTTATGATAGGATAGATTGAAGAAACGAAATATGATAATGATTGACAGTGTTTTAGGTTTAAGTAAAAATGGAAAAAAAAACCTTTGATAGTTCCTATGATCTGATTTATGGAAAAGAATAAAGAAATTTAGATGTCTTCTTCGTGCTCGTGAAGTATTTTGCAAATAATATCAGTGGATCAAATTTAAGTACACATTTCTTGGTTAAATACACACTTTCTATTTTGCCGAAAGATTTTTTTCCAAAGATGAGAGTAAAATGAAAGTATTGATAATTTCTGTTAATTCTACTGTACAGTATTAAAAAAATTATAAAGATAATGAAATAAGTAGCTTTTTTCTCTCTGTAATTTAGAAAAACTTTGGGAATTTTTACATATTTCGATACCATTTTACTAACTCAAATGAATAATTTATTTGTAAAATTAGAATCCGTTGAAAAAAGGTATGTTTATTCAGAGAAAGTGCGTTTTCGTGTCTTATTTTGTAACTTAAAATATGGTCTGCACAAATTGATTAGTGTATTTGTGGTCACCCCCTCGAACCATTAAGATTGAATTCTGAAGCGTGGAAATCCGTTTATTAGATCAAAAGTTATTCAGGGTGGTCCGCTTATTTTTTTTGCTCACTGTACATTGTTCTGCATAAATAACGTTTCGCTAATCGTATAGTTTATAATGGAAACGTAATGAATATTGCAACTGTACTGAATGCAATGAAAAAATATGCTGTAAATGTTATATTGCAAATTCGATTTCGAATATGGCGGTAATGTATGGCATAAATAATTTTAAGTGTTATATATAGTGCCGTGTACTGTGCATTATCAATAATATACTATAATTGTATTGAATAAACTGTAAAAAATGCTTGGCATGCCATATGATTCTTTGTTTGGAAGAGAGTTGTGCATCTAGAAAATTGAAAGGAAATTGAATGGAAATAAATTGTTTCATCATAAATTGTATTGATAATAGTTTTGAAATAAATTGCATTGAAATAAATAATTTTGAAATAAATTGTATTGAAATAAATGGCTTTGAAATAAATTGTGTTGAAAAATCTGTACAGAAATTATAAACTATTGTTTCATAATTTATTTAATATCCAACTCATTAAATACAGAAAATAATTCAGATTGCGAGAATAAATCATAGCGTGTAATTTATTCCTTGAATGCCGATGCAAATACTTAAAGTATGTAAAGTACGCAAAATAAAAAACGACCACACTGAATAACTATTGATGCAATGATTGGATCTTCACTTTCAATCTTGTTCCTCAATATTATCACTCAATCTTATCAATTTTAAAAATAAATTAGATTTTTCAGGATTTATCTCAGATTTTGTATTTTGCCTTGCAAAATTATATTCTTTAAAATGATATAAAAAATTGTATATCCTAATATTCAAATTTTCTTTTGACTAATATTATATAAAACAACAACAGTTCTTACTAACATTTATATTTTGTAAGGAATTATCCTCTAATTTTATAATTAGTTGTGTGCAAACTGTTTTGAATTCGTTTAAAAAGTTTTCGAGATACTTTTAATTATCTCGTAGATACTTTTAATAATGTTAAATTTGAAATTAGTATTAAGGGGACAAAACTTTGGATCGCTCTCCTGACCAAACTATTGAGATCATATTTTCCTGATTGCGGTTATCCCTTATATTTCGGGGGACTGAAATCCGAATCTGTCATAAAAAAGGTAAGTTTATTCAAAGAAAGTGCGTTTTTATGTCCAATTTCATTATTAAAATGTCATCGGCACTAGAGGTAATCCTCTCGAACCATTAAGATTGAGTTCTAAATCATGAAGATCCGATCATTAGATCAAAAGTTACTTAGGGTGGTCAGTTTATTTTTTGAACGCTGTGCATTCCACGTATCAAAAATTTTTTGTTGCTTCACATAACTGGCCACTTTTAAAGTGGTAAAATATATTGATCTAAAAATGAGAAAAGAAGAAAACACGTACCTTTGTACCTTCTGCAGTTGGCCATGATTGTAAAGTAGCTGTGATGATCCATGTCAGATCCAAGAAAAAATAAGTAGCCAAAAGATTCGTGTGGATATTATTTCGTAAGCAGCGAAGATTTCTGAAAAGTATCGTTTTTAAAAGCTTTAGCGTTCTCTTTTTCCCCACAAGTTAGCAAAATACTCCGAAGAGCCATTACATTATGACCACCCTGCTAATAACATGTAGGACCACCTTTAGCCCTCAAAACTGCTAGCACCCGTCATGGCATTGATTGCACAAGGTGCTGATAGGTAGTCTGAGGTATCTGGTACCAAGCGCTCACCAACTGGATCTGCAATTCCCTCACATTGCGAGGGGGTAGCGTGGCAGCACGAATTTAGTTTTCCAAGTAGGACCACAAATGCTCTATTGGATTAAGGTCAGGTGAATTTGGGGGCCAAGACATGACTTGAAAGTCACTGGAATGTTCCTCGACGATTCGACCCTTATGACATGGTGCATTATCCTGTTGGTAAACACCATCCCCAGCAGGAAAAACTGTTGCCATGAATGGGTGAACTGTTGCCATGAACCTGGTTTGCAACTATGTTCAAGTAGCTTGCAGACGTCAGGGATTGTTCTATGAGGATTATGGGTCCTAATGTGCCCCATGAAAACATTGTTCCTGGGCGAGAAACCATGAAAACCTGGGCGAGCCCATTGTTATAGATAGAGGGTGGTCATAATGTAATGTCTCTTCGGTGTATACTCTTCCTGTACTAAAAAAGGAATTGGCATATCAGTACAGGGTCGAAGTCAAAATTGATTTGGAAATTTTTAGTTTTAAATAATTGAATGAGAAGTTTTTAATATTATTCTTTACTAATGAGTGATACACTTGCGAAGTGATTTTTTTTAAAAATATTTGTCTCTAATTACACTGAGAAAAAAAGTATGGCTAAAACTTCAGAAATATGGTAAAATGTACCGTGTTTCTGGTTATATGGGAACACCAAAAAGGTCAGTATTATTATCGAGGCGATATGGTAATTATTTTGGTACACTTAACAATAAAATATGATTTTATAACATGTGATTATATTTAGTAATATTATCAAGATACTTTACAGCATGGCATGAAAACCATTTATTTTTTAGATTGATATTTTTAACTAAATGTGTAGCAATAAAAACTATAATTTTGAAAATCAAAATTTCCGGTAAACTATTCCCATATGAACGGAAAAATTACTAAATGATTGGTTTAAATATATAATATTTTGGTTTTTAATACCATAATTATTGTTTTTTTTAAAATTATTTTTATTTATTACCATGCAGAACGGTATTACTGGAATTTCTTTTCTCCGTGTGGTAGTATATTAGCAAAAAGTGACAACTAGTTGATTTTATACTTAAAACTGAAAATTGCACTAAACCATAAGTTTCTATATAATTCTTACTTTCGTAAACACGATACCAAAACATTTCTAATGCTATAAATGTCCAAAATTGCATATTCAAACATGATAAAGGAGCATGTTATTTATGAAGGGTTGCTTATATTATTTTAATCTCTAAATTTTTTTTGCAGTCATACATAAAAATATATATTTGAAATTTGTGCAAGAATAATACAGAATATCATTGATATATTGCGATTTGGGCATGAATGGGCTAAGTTACTCTTGTTATATGAAAAGTATTTTACTTTTCTATATTGTTTCAAACGTTATATATTTCCTTTAAAATGTAGGATTTATATCATTATATTGGTAAATGTGATTCCCATCATTTTCGAAACAAAATTGATGTTATAAATGTCAAAAAATGTTTATTATGATGAATGAAGTTCTTTATTATTGATGAATGGATTTACATACATTAATTTAACCTGGAGCATTTTTGTTGTAGTCATACATAAAAGTAAATATTGGAAATTGATGCGGAATCAGAAAAGATTTCTTCACTTTTATGAATAATGCGTGACTCTCTTTGCAGTATAAAATGAAAGCAATAAATTTTAACTATTCATAAAATGCACTAAAAAGTTTTTGAGTAACAAAAACACTTACTTAAAATGCAAAAAAATTGAAAGAGCAGCTGTTAGAGCCAGAAGGGACATTCCATATCCTACGTAATAAATTGTGCCTGCTTCTTTTANTCATGAGAATTTAAATCATGGCATAAAAACCATTTGCTTAGTAAAATTTATTTTTCAGTTTTATATTTTTAAAATGTGTAGTAATAAAAACTATAATTTTGAAGGCCAAAATTTCCGGAAACTTTCAATTACTGTTCGTCCACCACAAGAAGAGCTTTATATTACTTTAATCTAGAAATTTCTTTTGCACTCAGACATAAAAATACAATTTGAAATTCATGCAAGAATAATGCTGAATATCATTGAGATATTGCGATTTGGGCATGAATGGGCTGAGTTACCTTCGTCATAGAAAAAGTGTTTTACTTTTCTATATTGTTTCAAACGTTGAATATTTCTTTTAAAATGTAGGATTTACACCATTACATTGGTAAATGCAATTCCTATCATTTTCAAAACAAAATTGATGTTATAAATGTCAAAAAATGTTTATTATGACGAATGAAGTTCTTTATTATTGATGAATGGATTTACATACATTAATTTAACTTGGAGCATTTTTGTTGTAGTCATACATAAAAGTAAATATTGGAAATTGATGCGGAATCAGAAAAGATTTCTTCACTTTTATGAATAATGCGTGACTCTCTTTGCAGTATAAAATGAAAGCAATAAATTTTAACTATTCATAAAATGCACTAAAAAGTTTTTGAGTAACAAAAACACTTACTTAAAATGCAAAAAAATTGAAAGAGCAGCTGTTAGAGCCAGAAGGGACATTCCATATCCTACGTAATAAATTGTGCCTGCTTCTTTTATATCCCATAAAACCTGAAAGAGCAAAAATATGATATTTTATAAAGACAAATTCTTTAAAAAAAAATCAAGTTTTAGAAATTTTTCTACAATATTTTTGGAAGTTTATTTGTACTCATGCAATGACAGAGAACCCTTTAAACTAGTCTATGATTATAAAATTAATAATACTATCGAATAGAAACGGAACATTTTAACTTATTGTTCAATGATTAGATTTTTACGTACTAACTAAGATGCAGTAATTCAAAATACCAATTTTAAGTAAGTGCAAAATATATTTTAAGTTACGAAATCAGACACATCTCTGAATAAACATACAGTTTTTTCAATAGATTTTAAGCTTTGACCCTCATATGCAAAATAGCCGTAATCTGGAAAAATCTGATTTCACCCTTGTGGTGCTCTCTTGTTAAACGAGAGGCTCACCTATCTGACTTGATTCGTGGCTAGCAAGCCTGACTTTTCCCAGTGTCATTAGAAACAACAAATCTGGTTACAATAGTTGGGAGAGAGGTCAGTAGTTGTGACCCTTTAATGTTAATTTTACTTTTTCCGTATTTCGCCATATTTCTGTAATTGTTTTTCGAATTATAGATATTTTTTTGCACACAAGATACTTTTTAATGTTTATTTACTGGCTGATATTATTTGATTTAATGACTGTGTATGACTTTTTAAAATTTGATAACTCGGAAACTATTCAACCGATTTCGTTCAAATTGTATAATTCAAAATTACACACTTTAAAATGATGAGAAAATTTGTATAATTTAACAATTCAAATTGTTTTTCCAATTATTATTAAAAAATAGTGAAAATAACTAATTATAAAAAAAATATTTTTTTAAATGCTTTAAATTCGTTTATTTTTGGAGAGGAGTTTTTGTAATTGAGAGATTGATTTTTTTGATTTGATTTAAAAATTCTCAGCGCATGGCGAAATAAGCAAAACGCGAAATTAACATTAAAGAGCCAAAATTTTCAACTGCTCTTCTGCCTAAACTAATTGCACCAAGTTCCCTCTCGTTTTGATTATTTGAAATCCAAAAACGCCGAGAGAAAATTTAGTTCATTCAGAGAAGGTATGTTTTTGTGCTTAATTTCGTGACTTAAAATATGGTCTATTCTAATTTATTATCATACTCTAAGTTAGGCTCCCGAAGCAGTAAAATTGAGTTCTAATACGCGAAAATCCTATCAGTAGTCAAAAGTTATTCAAGTTGCTTGTTTTTTGATTTTATGCACTGTATATACGCAAAAGAGTTGATATTTCAGAAGCATTTCAATCATTCGTAAACAAAGTACAACTCGTGCATGTTTCAAAACATTTCTGTCTAGGAATATTAGAAATATAACATTTTTGATGGTTTTCGGAGAGAAAAATTAAGCTATTTCATTTGGTTGGAATGTAATCTTGTTTGACACTTCATCTTCAAATGAGAGCAATAAATGTTTTTTTTTAAAGGAAAAAAAAATACAATTTAGCAAATGCACAAAATTTCTTTCTAGCACTGTTTGAATTTTCCATCTAAAATTACGGTGAAAAAACCGGAAACAGTCTGTCCACCCAATTTAACATAAAGTTTACGGTCAGAAAATTTTTTGCCTCAGCGGTTTTCAAACCGTTAATAATTGGTATGGCATTCTTGACAGCGAAATTACTTAGTCATGTAGCCATTTACAGCTAGCATTATTTCGAAACCGCAAAAATCAACTGCACATTATTGCTCATTTACGGTTTTTCTTAGGCGATGCACATTGGAGTTAAGTTGTAGTTCAGTTGCGTTTTGTCAAATAAACCGAGGAATGTAGCTCATTTATTTGGTGGTGCCATCTATTGTGACACTTAGAAAATATTAGACTTCTTGAGCAGTTCTGTTCTGCTGTCATCTATGTGTGAATCAAGGTTTGGATGCTTATAATCCAGGGGAGATTTCCGTATCGTGATCAGCGGCAGAATAATCGCGAAGTCTTGGAAATTTCCAGGCAGTGGCCCGTGAGAAACTGAAAAAAAAAAACATCACAGAAAAGGACCAACTCGAAAGGTATCACTCGTAGCCACCCCCGGGCAAACATCTACATGTTTTTTTCAAAAACATTTGCAAGTTTAAAATCTATTTGACATTTTGGCGATTGTAGTTGGCGAGACAGATCACGATGCGGAAATATCCCCATAATCCAGGTTCACCAATTGATGAGTTAAGGACGCCAGAAACTGTTCATGTGCTGAAGGAATAGAAGAAATATTGCGGATTCAACGATGGGATTCAAATCCCCGATCAACCAGTCATGAGCTTGACAGATTAGTACTCTCAGCTACGATATGTATGCAGCTGCAGGAAACTAAGTGGCTTCATAAGGTGCTCTTAGTTGGAGCGTAAAAAATTCTCGCTGAAAATGAGCAAGAGTTAATAAACGATTTTTCTTATAGTTAACAGTTTGAACACCATAATTTTTATGGTCATTTAATTGTTTGGTTGAATATGGTTAAATAATAATTAAATGAGTTGTTATTTAACCATTGTTTACAAGAAATTATTAAAAGTGTTGCCCAGAACTGTATAGTCATAGCACTGCTAAGAACGAGCTGTTATCTTAATCCGTTTTAAAATCCTGCTCTTAAACAAATTGATGTATGGAAAAAAAATTGATTTTTTAAATCTTACAAAAAATGGCATCCCTCTATTATTGTATTTAATTTTATACCATTTTGCTTAAGATTTTGTCAATAGATGGTGCAATATCAGAAGGAGTCTGGATTGTTTTAAAGATTATTTATTGCTATGTTTATTTCCATCGAATAAAATACAAGTTTCAGAATGTTAACTGAAAGATTTTAATACTGATTTTAGAAAATAGGGAACTTTAAATAATGTAAAAAAAACCCAACCTAGTTTTATTTTTTTAAAACATTTGATTAATATTGATAATACTTTAAAGGGAAAATTATAGAACTATGCGGTATTTCCCAGTTCTGTGTAGCAAGTGAAATTATTCATGCTTTTTTACTAGTTTCAAAATAAATTCACTACTGCTTACGAACTGCTAGATGAACTTATTCTGATTACAGGGAATCATAATGGAAGTAAATATAATTTTTTTTGTCTGCATTATATGGCATACATGATTCAGTAAATTCAAAACATCAATAAATTGAATAAATTTATAATTGATAATTTAATCAATTTGAATAATTTGAAGAATTTAATGTGTTTTTAGAGAGCATGTGATTTTTTTCATCAAGCTTCAGTTTATAAAAATTAGGGAAAAAAATACGAGAAATAGCTATATCATTATTAAAATATTATTATAACTAAAAGAATTAATTTCATTTAATGAATAGAAAAAAAAACAGTATTCCACTCAACTAAAGCTAAAAAATATTTTTATATAAATATCTGCAGCATTTGTTTATACAAAAATTATAAATATATGTAAATAGAAACGTAAGCGGAATATTCCTTATTCACATAATTTACACAAACTGAATCACGTCTGTCGGAAATAAAGTTTGATGGATAGCTATTCTCCTTTTGCAATCGTTTGCACTCTTGTCAGGCGTAAAATTCTCACTGAAGACAAAGCATTGTAATGTATCATTAGTGATACATGCCTACTCTTTCAGGTAGCACAAACTGCTCTGGGGAATGTTACCTTGATATGGGGTTCCTCTTCCTCTAGGGGTTTACACCTTGAGTAGTCAGATCTCTCCGCCCAGCTGCTGTTTTCGCCGCAAGATCTTGTGGCATTCTCTGTAACAGAAAATTAGTTCGGTAAAGTGTTCCTCGAGAAATGGAATTTCTGGGAATTGTTTGGTTTGAATCTTTGAGGAATGTACCACCTTCTATCTACTTGTTATGACATTATATTTGATTATTAATATATTGGTTAGTAACTTACCAAATATTTTTCAATCTTAAACAAGTATAATTTATACTATCATACGATATTTCTCTTTTTATAATCGAATTGATTGTTTCCTCATTTTAATTATAATATGAAAAAAAATCAGCTCTGGTAAAGAAATTGAAAAAGAAAAGAACACATTTAGCGCATTAAACTACTTAGAATTTAGTAATAAACATTTTTATATTTAGATCTACCAAAATACGTAACATTTAAAAAGTGTTTTGCCAAGTGTTGCTGTTATAAACAGAAGTGCAATCCGATAAAAATATATGGAGACAACTATTTATGAATATTGTTAGTAATTCAAATTGCTACCCTAAAAATTTAGTTTCTAAAATATTATATTAGTTTTTTGTTAATTTAATTATGAAAGGATTGTGTTTAAATTTTTGTATTTAAAGTTTTGAGTACTTTTAATTAAATTAATGAGAGGAGGAATTTAAATAAATGGTGTTACGTGCAATGAAAATTTTATGCCAATCTTGATCGTAACATTGCTAGCTATTACAAGACGTTCAAATATTTGCACAAGATTTGAATTAAATTAAAAATTAATAATTTAGTTTTAGCCACAAAAAAACAAACAAACAAAAAAAACGGTTAGACAGCCGACAGTTTAGGGTTAATAAAAATGTAGCAATCAAAACTAAACAATAAAAACTACGCGTTCAAGAATAATTTCAACAATAAAAACTACGCTTTATTGTTGAAAGACCATGAAACAATCCAAATACTGCATGAGACAGTTATTGGTCATGTATTCTCGTGTCTCGGTGGACAGAACTGGCCCTCTAGATTGCGTAATTTAACACCATCGGAATTCTTTTCATGGGTTTATTTGAAGTCAAAGGTTCATGCCCGCAAGCCTCCATCTAACCGTGTATCGAAAGAAGAAATTCAACGCTCCGTCAATGAAAATTTGCCATATTTATGCAAAGTGATCACGGAAAATTTCAATAAAAAATGCGATTTTGTGCCAGCAAAGTCTCGGAGGTCATTTGCTCGATGCTATTCCATACATAATCCTATCCTATGCATTATTGTTACGTTTCAATAAAAAATATACACGGTGGAAAGAAAAACAGTCTTTTCTATTTAATTCAAATCTTGTGTTAACTTTGGTATACTCTTTATATTCAAGAGGAAATTTATATTCAATATTTAAAATAATAATTATAAGACTTGAGTCACGATGACTCAGTGATTAAGGCACTGCACTGTTTGTGATGAAATAGGGTTTAATCCCCAATGGCGGCTTGAAGCCCATCCAGCTCCTGGTCTATGGGTACCAGCTTGTCTGGGAAGTAAAGGTGGCTTGTGCGCTGTGCAGACTACATTGCCACAATCATGCCGTTGGTCGAGAAATTTTAGAGCCGTAACCTCTATGACCCCCATGGTCCACAATGAGCTGCTGTGGGAATGCTTTACTTAATTATAAACCTGCGTGTAATTTAATCTTTTTTTCCCTCTAAAGGGGTTGTTGGAACATTTGCGTGAACTAAATTGGCAATTGCTAGGTTTAATTTGGCAATTAAATTAAGCATTTAAATACGTACAGGAATGTGATATTTAATATTGTAAAAATGACGCACATGAGTGTTAAATGTGAAGTTTACAGATACAATAAAAGCGCAGTTCCTTCCGGAAAATTGATTCTCGTTGGAAATAGTTAAATGTCAACCAGACTTCGTGTTTCTATCTTCCACTCTATGTTAGGTTCCCTCGAAGAAAGTTATTCTTCTCTATCAATCTAGTTACTTTTCCTATGATATTTAATATATATATATAATTGCTAGCCAGTATCACTTTGGAATAATATATGGACAACTGAAAATACACCAATAAACATCCTTTTCAACTTATGGCTAATACGTCGAGCATTTTCAACAAATCAAAATAATTCCCTAACAGTTGTGTAACCAGAACAGTAAAACAAATAAATCGCTTAACGGGAAAACAGACTTGCTTCAAAATTAATCTCAACTCATCTAGTTTGCTTGCGAAGCCGGAATTCCGGATAATATTGACAAAGTAATATCAGGTAAAGCTGGTTTCAACCTTTAATTATCATGCTTCACTCCACTGATGTTCATCAAGCCTTCAGATATTACCACACATTTCGTAGAATCATGTAGAAAGTAATAATAGGTTGTTAAAATCAAAGATTCATATATGCATTATGCATGGTTTCAGTGAGTTAACAATTGCGGTAGAAGAGTAATTAATATGCGTTAGTTGCCAAGGTAAATCTATGAAGTAGCGTATTATAGTAAGATTAAAAAAACAGTCATAAATTTTGAGTTGGCATATTTTTGTATCTTCTTGGAATTTTCTTTAGCATTTTTAATAGTTTCGTGGATTTTTTATTTAATTAATTTTATCCCAAAAAACAGAGATTGTTTTAAACATGTTATAGCTTTTCTTTTCTTTTTTATTAACCCTTTAACGCAGATGGGGCACCGGTGTCCATTTTTTATACATTTTCTTGATGCTCTAATTTAAAGCAAAAATATTTTTTAGATTTTTTTATTTATAAAAGCAGTTTAATACTTACTAAAAAATCTGCTGAACTATCAGAATTATATTTGTATGACAAAAATGTAAAATTAAAAAAAGAAAAAGGCAGTTTTAAATTTTTTCTCACTCATATTCAAAAATTATCAATAACTGATATTGTTAGTTAAAGAAATTTCAATAATGAATATCTGTTTCTTTTAGATCTAAATAATTGCAAATTTGAAAAATTATTGTTTGGAAGTTAGCCGTGTTTGGAGGAATTTATTTTTAAAGAAGAAAAAGACACAAGTGTTCTACGCTGTATTTCATAACCACAAATTATTAAAATGCTAAATACAGTATTTTTCACTTATTTTGACCTAAATAAATACAAAATTATGAAAAAAGTAAATATGAAAAACATATGTTTATTAGCAATTCTGCGTCTAAGGGTTATGAGATACTCTTTTATATAAAAGTCGCATTATTTCTAAGTGTGCTTTTTATCATTGGAATTAAAATTTAATTTTAACCCTTTACAAAGTCGTAAAAAGTATAGTTCCCACCAAATTCATTGGCTTTTAAATGTGGATGGAAAGCTGCTTTCCCTCCAGTGGTTTGTGTTGCCATCTGTTGATAACTTCAGAAAATCGAAAAAAAAAAAAACAATATCGAGGACTGTGTTTTCTTAAATGTGGGTTATAGTCATATATTAGTCCCTGGTTATAATAAAGGTTAACGCAGCGCCAATAAGGGATACTGAAACTGGGGAACTATTTGCGTTCGTTAATTTGCTCATTTTTCATCGAGTTTATTTGAAACAATAAACACAGAATTTAAAAATCTGGTTGTTTATAAGCACAGAAGTTCAAGTTTATGGCTTACAGTGAACATAGGTTTTAAAAGTTTACACCCATCTTTTCATAAAGAAATGATCTTAAAAATCAAAATAAATTCAGGTAATAGGATAAATTTTTTAAAATATAAAAGTCAATCTTAACATGAAAAATATTTTAACAAAACGTTATTCGAAAAATTTTTTCCTATAAAAGGCTACAGTAGTAAATGATTAGAAAAAAATATAAAATCATGACATTAAGATCAGAAAAAATAAATTTTTTTATTTGGTTTCTAAAATATGCAGTTAAAATGATTTTAAATAATTTGTATGCTAATTAAACTATTTTAACATGATTAAACTAAACATAATTAAGCTGAAACATGATTAAACCATTTGAAGTTCAATTGTTTATTTGTTAATTAAGAAAGAAGATTTATCCTTGAGAAATATTTTTAAGGAAAAATATTTTATTATCACCAAAATGTTGAGTTTCCTTTAAATTCAAATTTTACCTGCAATTGAATGTTTTTTTGAATTCGAAAAACCACAAAAATCTTAACAACCATCTCGCAAAATAGTAATTAGAAATATATTCAGACTTACCTAATGTATCATAAAGTACTCCATTAAATTCATGAAAACAGGGTACTGTAGCAATTGATCCTGCTTTGACTGGAGGCCAACATGATAAGCCATCCCACGTAGCATTGCAGTAAGCTTGCTTATCTAATAATTGTAAAAATAAAAATAAAATTGTTAGTAGATAATATTTTATTTCAATACAAAGTTTTATGGAAATGGATAAAACTCTATTTTAAAAGTATCATAAAATATTCATAGCATGTTAACAAGGCAAGAAATAAAAGAAAAAAAAAAGAAAAGAAAAGAGAGTTCTGAATTCGAAATTACGAAGAAGGGTGAAGTTAGTTTGGTGTAAATATTTTTTACACATCTCTGTTTATTTAAATTTAGTAAAAAGTGCTGCTCTTTTCCATTTACTATGAAAAAAAGAAATTTACCATGTTTCTGGCTCTATGAGAACACTAAAAAGCTCGGTAATTTTTACTGAAATGCTTTGGTAAGGATTTTGGTTAAATCAACCATAAAATATAATATTATATTAAGTGAAAAACTCTATTAGATGTAGCAAAATTTGGTGACCTGATTTCTTAGAGCATGAGATTAGATGAGAGCATAATTTTAGAGAGCATGATTTTAGAGCATGATTTTTAGAGCATGATTTTTAGAGCATGATTTTAGAGATAATAAAAGCCATTTAATTGGTTAAATTCATTCTTAAGTTAGTATTTTTTACCATATGTTGGGTAATAAGAATTATAATTTTGAAAAACCAGAGTTTCCGGTAAGCCGTTGCCATATGTTCGGCAAAATTATCAGATGAATGATATACCATATATTTTGGATTTATTACTAGAATTATGATTTTGTTTTTACCAGAAATGTCATTACCACAATGTAAGATAATTTTACCAGAATTGGGAAATTTAGATATAATGTAAAGTATTCTATTTGTGAAGTAATAACTAATTTATAATAATATTCATTTCATTCACATTCATTTCAATTAACATTCATTTGTGCTAAATCTGAATTCTATTCCAAATATTTATATCTTACCTACATTGGATAAAAATAAAAATAGGAGTAATTCATCTGTTTCTTCATAACAGACAGGATTAACTTAAGTGAATAATCGAATTTTAAATATTTATTTTGTATGTATTCAAAAAGATTAAGCATATAGTAAGTGATTGTTAGGACGAATTGGCAGGAGGCGAGAGTATCTGCGTATGACAGGCGAGAGTGGAATACGAAACTAAGGGCCTTATGTGCCAGTGTAGGTATATAAATAGAAGATGATGATGTGATACATGAAAACATAGAAAAATAAACTTAGTTCATTTTCAGATATTAATGTTTGTGTGATTCCTCTTTTGTTTCATGGCAAATATCGAATTTATAATCAAGTTCGTTCCCTACATTTGGTAGCTTTACAACGTCATTGGTTCTCAATGATGTACAAACGTGTCCTTTCAGGTTGAGAAGAAGTGTTGTAGGCATGCGGATGACAAGTGCTTTACTCTTAATCCTATTGCAATTAAGACCCCGCTGTGTGCTATCATTTTATGGGGTTATTTCAAGCACACTGTTTATGTACCGGTGATGGTGAAAGCACTTTGACGTCTTGAACACATTTGTGGAACTTTAGGAACGTGTAAGAGCATAAAAAAATACAAAATAAATGAAACGAACTTAAGTACAGAATATTTAATTGTTGTGTAAAAAAGAACCACACAGTGAAAATTTGTTATACAAAAACTTGGTATATATTTTTTATTTAGTTTCATGCATCATTTATTGTAGTGTGTGTAATAGTTTCGAAAATGCAAATATTTTAAATCCAGTCATTCATTTCTGTTAAGTCTGTATTCTATATCAAATACACACAAAATACAAAAGGTTATTCATTATATATCACACATTTTACAATTTTTATTACAAATTGTTAGTTGACAAAGCTACCTATCAAAATGACAGGAGTGAATTTTAGGTACTTGTTACCATTTCAGAGTAACTAAATTGGTGTTTAATTGAAAAGCACCGTCAATGAGGTTGTTTCCAATAGTTAAAACCGTTGCTGTTCATAAAGAGTTGAAAAAGTTGATAGGTTTAAATAACGATACTTCTGACACCTTTTCTCAGATAACATCCCGTGTTCATTCTTTACTTTGCATCTTTGAGACCTTTCTGCACCTTTTACTTTGCACCTTCTTTACTTTGAGAAGATCAGTGAGACTATTTGCCCCATCTGGTGGAGTAATTCTGAATTTAGTATCTGTAGCTGATAACTGTGATAATAAGCAATATTTGATGTTCCTGGCCNCAGACAGGATTAACTTAAGTGAATAATCGAATTTTAAATATTTATTTTTTATGTTTTCAAAAAGATTAAGCATATAGTAAGTGATTGTTAGGACGAATTGGCAGGAGGCGAGAGTATCTGCGTATGACAGGCGAGAGTGGAATACGAAACTAAGGGCCTTATGTGCCAGTGTAGGTATATAAATAGAAGATGATGATGTGATACATGAAAACATAGAAAAATAAACTTAGTTCATTTTCAGATATTAATGTTTGTGTGATTCCTCTTTTGTTTCATGGCAAATATCGAATTTATAATCAAGTTCGTTCCCTACATTTGGTAGCTTTACAACGTCATTGGTTCTCAATGATGCACAAACGTGTCCTTTCAGGTTGAGAAGAAGTGTTGTAGGCATGCGGATGACAAGTGCTTTACCCTTAATCATATTGCAATCAAGATCCCGCCGTGTGCTATCATTTTATGGGGTTATTTCAAACACACTTTTTATGTACCGGTGATGGTGAAAGCACTTTGACGTCTTGGACGTATTTGTGGAACTTTAGGAACGTGTAACAGCATAAAAAATACAAAATAAATGAAACGAACTAAAATACAGAACATTTAATTGTTGAGTAAAAAAGAGCCACATGGTGAAAATTTGTTATACAAAAACTTGGTATATATTTTTTAATTTAGTTTCATGCATCATTTATTGTAGTATGTGTAATAGTTTCGAAAATGCAAATATTTAAAATCCAGTCATTCATTTGTGTTAAATCTGTATTCTATACCAAATATACACAAAATACGAAAAGTTATTCATTATGTATCACACATTTTATAATTTTTATTACAAATTATTAGTTGACAAAGCTACCTATCAAAATGACAGACGTAAATTTTTATAAGTAGTCGTCACCATTTAAGAGTTACTTGAATGATATTAATTGAAAGCACTGTCAATGAGACTGTTTCCAATAGTTAAAACCGTTGCTGTTCATAAAGAGTTGAAAAAGTTCATAGGTTTGAGTACAAGAGAGTTAATACTTCTGGCACCTTTTTTCTGATAACATCCCGTGTTCATTCTTTACTTTGTCGAGAGAAGACCAGTGAGACTATTTGTCCCATCTGGTGGAGTAATTCTGCATTTAGTATCTGTAGCTGATAACTGCAATAATAAGCAATATTTGACGTTCCTGGCCTGTGCTAAAGAACTTTTTTAATCTTACTCTTGCTGAGTAATTTTTTTCGATCAATTTCATTGGAAAATTGTACATTTATTGTATTTACATTTGTAAACAAAAGAAAGGGACATAAATACCAAAATAATAATTTCTATAGGGTAAAACACAAATTTTCTAAGAGAAGCAACTTCATTTTGCTAGGCTTATCAAAACGAAAATTTTTATTTTTGTTGTTCTTTGAGCCAGTGTCAGAACTGTATATCGGTCCGGACAAAGTATGCTTAACTTTTGAGTTTCAGTGAGCAGAAAAAAAACTTCCTTTTGAATTTTGCCATGAAAATATTTTTATTCTCTTAGTAAATTTTATTATTTTTAAATTATTCTAATAATTTATATTTTTTAAACTAATCTAATAAAATATTATTTGGTATTTCGTTTGTGATTAGTTAGATTTTTATTTCAGCTAATATTGGCAGCTAGAAAACTTTATTAATAACATTTTAATGCAGGAATATCATACAACTTTCAAGCCTAAAAGATAAAAACTAATGGAGAGTGCTGTCCATGGTGAAACACAGAATTTTCTAATGACGAACTCATGATGGTTAAAGGTACGTTACCATGTTGTATGTTGGATCAATTTTTCTTACCTTAAAAACTTTTTTCCCAGAAGAGTAAAGTAGTATACGTCTATAAACAAGTATTTAAATCGATAAACATGTAATGTTTTTATCACAAAATTTTTAAATAAATTAAATTACCAAATTGTGCAAAAAATAAAAATAAGTGAATAAAAATATTTAATTAATATGAAAATGTTGAAGCTTCTTTAGATTTTGGCTGTTTTCTTATACAAATCAAAAGCTAGACATCATTAAGCATTAATATTTTTTTTTGCAGAACATGCACAACCTTCAACACCAAACCTCAATCACAATGAAAATATTAAATTAGTACTTCATATGAAAACAAATGATTTTTTTAAATAATGTTATGGTCAACAGCTTAGAGCTAATAAAACAGTTATGTTGTGTTTTTTGTGTGTATAATAAAAAAATTAAAATTAACAGAGCTTAAGTAATAAAAAACTTTAAGCTATATTTCTTTCAAAGAAGATAAAATGTTAGAAACGACAACGGAAACTATTTTTGGAACTTTGTTTTTGAAAAAGATTTAAGAAGCTGAAATTTTCAAAGCTTATAGCTCAATGATAAGATAAAAACTTTTAGCAGATATTCTTTGAAAGGATTAGCGCTTTTCTTTGGTGTAAAGTATTTTTCTAAGAAAAAGAAAGTACAGAGTTATTTTCTAGAGCATTTATTGATAGTTTTGTTTTTTGCTCAATAAAGTGAAAAATACGTGGTTGAATAGATATATACGATTAAGGATTAGAAGCATGATACGTAGAGTAATGGGTTTGATATCACCCAAAAAGAGACTGTTTTTTTCGGGGGGGGGGTAATAAACGAAACTTTAGTTAGAAAATTACGCAAAATAGGCGAATTGAAGGTAAAGATGTTTAAGTTTTAACTTTTCTGCTCTTAAATTTTTTTCCCTACTATTTTAAATATAGAGTGTTTTTATGGTCTCCATGGTAAACATTTGAATAAATCTTGCAATGACAAATATTTTTGTTTAATTCTTTAAAAGATTCATCT